GCTCGCCAGACAGACAGAGACATAGAGACAGAAAGCGAGAAATCACCCCCCAGGGGGGATGGTCACGCCGCAATCCCTTCTCTTCCATTCTCCTCTCGGGATCTTGGGCACGTGCCCGGCGTGAGTTTTAAGCCACCGGGTCCGGCATGCAAACCACGGTTGACTACATGGGAGTCCAGCGACATAGCCATTACGCTAACTGCTGGTTCCCGAGCAAATCTTATTTCTTCAACAAAGAAATGCAAAGCCTAAATGCTCCTGTCATTATTCCAGACCACTCCTATCAGTAGGGACTTTTCGTTTCTTTCCCACACTCTCCTATGTGTTTTCACTGTGGCATCCAAAGCTGAGCCACTCAGAGGCACTGAGTTCTTAAATGTTTGTGGGCTCCTCCTTTAGGAACTAGAAAACTTGAAAAATTATAGGCATCGTCTTCTGAAAACTTCTGGTATTTAAGAAGACAGGACTAGGAATACAATGTATAAGGGGAACATGCCGTTAGGTGGGGTTGCCAATGGAAGGGTCACAGAGGCTCCAGCCCCTCTGCTATAAAAGGTGAGACTCAGAAACAGGTTCCCTTCACAGCCCCTCTGCTAGTGCAGCCCACCCACTGCACTACTGCCCTTACTGGAGTAAGAACTGCTGGTACTGGAGGTGCTGCATCTGGTACAGGGCTGTGAGTTCCTGCTGCCTGGTCAGTCGTTCCTGGTCCAACTCTCCCTGGGAGCGAAGGAGTGAGGGGAAAAGAAACATTAAATGCATTGCACAGAACCTAAATGCCACTTATACATTTATCTGAAAACAAATAATCTAAGACCTTCCAATCTACCCTTCATCCAAACGCTTAACCAAAACTTGGGCATCTTTAAAGCTAACAATGCCATCTAGTGGAATAAGGTGGTATGTGTGTCCTAAGAGATTTCCTAAGGTGAGAAAAGAGCTATGACAGCTGCTGTTCTCCATTTCTGTCCTTACAGCTGAAGGTTGAACTGTACTCCAGTTATTACTGTAATTAAAACACCGTGTAATTCTCCTAATCTTAGAAGTGATTTGTAGAGTCATGGAGAAATCAGAGAATGGGTCGGTACACAAAGGAGTCAAATCTAAAGGTTAAAGGAAACGTTATGGTAGGATTTTTTACTGGCACACAATGAATGTAGGAAGTAGATATGTATCTTTTTTTTTTTTTTCTTTAGAGGTTTTTCACTACAGGGCGCGCCCACTCTGCCATTCTATGCCTTTTAATTGTGTTGAGAACACTGACATTTAAAGTGTCTATTGATACAGTTAGATTAATATTTACCTTTTTTCACTTTTTCCTATTTGTTACCATAGTTTGTTTCATTTTTATCTTCCACATTTTCTTATCGAGACTTTATGTTTTTAACTGAGCATTTTATATAATTCCATTTCTTTCCTTTCTTGGCATATCACTTATTGTATCTTTTTTTTTTTTTTCTTGAGAGGTTTTTCACTACAGGGCGCGTGCGCTCGCCAGACAGACAGAGAGAGACACAGAGACAGAAAGCGAGAAATCACCCCCAAGGGAGGATGGTCATGCCGCAATCCCTTCTCCTCCATTCTCCTCTCGTGCATGCACGCACACGCACCCGGCGTGAGTTCTAGGCTACCGGGTCCAGGACACGAACCGCGGTCGACTACGTGGGAATCCAGCGACATAGCCATTACACTAACTGCTGGTTCCCAGTAGGTATGTATCTTAGAGATGCTGAAAATACTGGGCCACCTCTGTGACTCGGCAGTAAAGCACTGCTCTAGAGACACTGAATCCACATGGTGACTGTGGTTCAAGTCCCAGACGAGTTGGCCTCAAACATGCCAGGCACATACATGAGCAGTCAGGATCCCACAGGCTAGAGAGAGGGGAGCGTGGCAGAACTTGTGAAGGGTGCTCACTGCTCATTTCTCTCTCTCTCTCATGTGTATGTACAAACATTCTATTTTGTAAAAATTGAGAACAAGAAAGAACTTTGAAAACTATTAACTCTCTACCCCAAAAAGGAGTTTCTATGCTTTTAATCAACCATGAGTTAGAAAAAATAAGCTCTAAGGCCAGCCCCAAAGAACAGCAGTTAAGTACTATACAAAGGAAGCTAGAGTTTATAACTAACCACAGCTTTAATCTCAGCTTTAATCCTATGGCTTAAAAACCATGCCAGACATATGTGTGCATGCCCAGGATCCTGAAAGGATTAAGAAATAGAGGAAAAAGGACTGCAGTGTGACCAGGCCCCAATGGAAGGTGTGTGTGCTCTCTCTCACATTTGCACATTTCTGGCATTAAAAAAAACAAGAAAGAAAGAAAGGGCACTCCTATGGCCTAGTAGTTAAGAGAACCAGACCCCATATGGCCAGTCAAGCAATTTCTTGCCCCAGAGACTTGAAAAACATGCTAGGAAGGGGGAAGAAAAAAACCAAAAGGCTGTGGTAAAATCCTTTTATTTTTAGCTTATATCTCAAATATCATGGCAGGAATTTTAATTATGAAGTCAAAACTGGGAAAGAGAAATGTAAAGTGTAAGACAATAGAAGTAAAAGCCTAAGAATATTTGGACTAAGGCAAATCATGAGTAAATCATTTACACCCTTTATTATATACTATACAAACTACACTATTTCTTTCCTTTTTTTTTTTTGGAGTGGTTTTTGCTATGGAGCATGTGCACTCACCAGAAAGACAAAGAGACAGAAAGCAAGAAATCACCCCCCAGGGGGAATGGCCACACCGCAATCCTTTCTCCTCCATTCTTCTCTCGGGATCTTGGGCACGCCCGCACACATGCCCGGCATGAGTTTAAGCCGCCGGGTCCAGGACTCAAACTGCGGTCAACTCCGTGGCAGTCCAGCGACATAGTCATTACGCTAACTGCTGGTCCCTCCAAACTATACAATTTCTAAGGGTGAGGTTCACCTAAAATTCAGGGACAGGTTCGAGTCCTGAACCTAGTGACTTGCTTTCTCACTTTCTTTCTCTCTCTCTGTCCCTCTTTGGTAAAATTAAAATAAATAAAATAATGTTTTTAAAAAGTGGTTTACTTCTCTTTAAATACTGAAGGAAAATAATGCGCAGTAGAATTATCTAAAATTTCCACATGAAATTTTATCTAGGTTTCAGGATATACTCACCATGAAGATGAGTCTTCTTAACAGTGATACTCAGGGCAAAGTTCACAGCTGGTAAGAAACAGAGCTTTCCAGTTCTGCCCTTAGGCAGAAGCTGCATCTCAGGCCCTGCAACCAACCGTGGGGTGGGACATGGACTAGAACCTGCATCTTGGACCCTACAACTAACCACAGGGCAGGCGGGGCATGGACTAGAGGACACAGCAAGGTATAAGTGGTGAGCTCTCAGCTCCTGGTGCACTGGACTGAAAACTAGGATCATGTCAGATATAATTCCCCTCACCTAGAAACACTTCATTCTAGACCACTATTCTCCAAACTACAGGTCCCAACCCATCAATGGGTTCTTTTTTTTTTTGGACAGGTTTTTACTATAAGGTACGTGTGCTAGCCAGAAAGAGACAGACAGAGAGACAGAAAGCGAGAAATCAGCCCCCAGGGGGAACAGTCACACTGCAATTCCTTCTCCTCCATTCTCCTCTCAGGATCTTGGGCACACACGCACACGCACCCAGCGTGAGTTTAAGCCACCGGGTCCAGACCACAGTTGACTACATGGGAGTCCAGTGACAGTCATTACACTAACAGCTGGTCCTTCATCAAGGAGTTCTGACACCAACATTTAAAAAAAAATAAAAATGGACAGAAAACATGTGTATGGCATAAAACATTCTGTGAAATCATACGTACCATAACGCACATACTATATATACCCATAACACACACATACTATCACACACATATACTATATACACCCAAACACATACTCTATCACACACATGCTCTATATACCCATAACACACACATACTCTATCGCACATATTACATACACCCATAACACACATACTCAATCACACACACACTACATACACCCATAACATACACGTTATATCACACACATGCTACATACACCCATAACACACATACTATATCACACACATACCATATACATCCATAACACACATACTATGTCACACACATACTATATACACCCATAACACACACCTACTATATCACATGCATACTATATACACCCATAACACATACTCTATCATACACATGCTCTATACACCCATAACACACACATTATATCACACACATGCTACATACACCCATAACATGCACATGCTACATACACCCATAACACACATACTATATCACACACATACCATATACATCCATAACACACATACTATGTCACGCACATACTATACACCCATAACACACACCTACTATATCACATGCATACTATATACACCCATAACACATACTCTATCACACACATGTTCTATACACCCATAACACACACATACTCTATCACACATATTACATACACCCATAATACACACGTTATATCACACATGCTACATACACCCATAACACATATACTATATTGCACACATGCTACATGCACCCATAACACACACATACTATATACACCCATAACACATAGACTATATCACACACGTACTATATACACCCATAAAACTATATCACACACGTACTATATACACCCATAAAACTATATCACATGCTTATATCCACCCATAACACACACATACCATATCACACGTGTACTATATTCACCCATAGCACACACACTATATCACACGCGTACTATATCCACCCATAACACACACATACTATATCATACGCATACTATATCCATCCATAACACACATGCTATATCACACACGTACTATATCAACCCATAACACACACACTATATCACACACATACTATATATATCCATTACATACTGTATCACACATAGTATATACACCCACAACACACACATAATATATACGTCCATAATACACACATACTATAATATACACATATTATATACATCCATCTATAAATGCACAGAACAGACACCTAAACCACATTTTATTTTTCTAAAGAATTACTTTATTTAACTTTATTTATTTTATTTATTTTAATTTGACCAAAGAGGGACAGAGAGAGAGAGAAAGTGAGAAGGCAAGGGACCAGGTCCAGGAATCGAACTACAGTCAGCCATGTGGGAGTCCAGTGCCCTTAACTACTACCTGCTGACTCCATAACAACTTTTTTTTTCCTTTTTACTATGAGTCATTGTCAAAAAAGTTTGAAACAGCCACTGTCTTCACCCATGAACTACCTTGAATGGAGGAGGCTCTGTTTGACTCATTTTCAGCTCATGAGACCTGCCATAAGGCCTGACACAAGCCTTCAATACTGACTTGGTGAAAAAGCCCATGGTGGAAAAGGAAAAGTGAGGTGCAGACTGAGAGTTCTCCAAAAGAAACCCTACTGGAAGAGGCCCAAGAGCAGCCATGAGAGGAAGGAGGTTGCCCTTGCCCAAGTACTCGCTCCAGTGTCGGTGCCCTGGGGAAGTCACTAGCTTTCAGGCTCCATTTTTAATTACAATGCCAGCAACTCATTTTTTTTTAAGTACTCAAAAATATTTTGAAGCCCTGGGAACATTTCTTTCAAGGTAAATCTCAAACTTAACTTTATGAGTCAGAAGGAAGAGGTAAATGGAAGGGAAGTGAGCTGAATGTGAACCCTAAGTATAGGCAACAGGAAATGCAAAGAGGCACTGTGGTGAAGCCCAGCAGACAGAGATAGAGGTGCTGAGAAGTGCTTAGAAAGGGAAGGAGCCAGACCACGTGGGACTGGGTAGGTAGCTCAGAATAAGACGCTGGCCTTTGGTTCCAGCAGATGGCGTGATGGTTTTGTCACTGAACTCCCATATAGTTTACCGTGGTTCAAGTCCCAGACCCAGTGGCTTAAAACTCATGCTGGGTGCGTGTGTGAGTATCCGTGCCCAAGATCCCAAAAAGAGATTAGAGGAGGAGGGAATGCAGCATGGTCATCCCCCCCAGGGGTGATTTCTCACTTTCTGTCTCTCTGGTGGGCACACACACCCTATAACAAAAATCTCTTAAAAAAAGATGCTGGTCTTCAATCTACATGAGCTAGAAAGCTACTAACTAAAAGAGTCTGTTTCTCAGGGATGTTCGTGAAGAGGATGGGCACAGGTATTTGAGTTTCTGAAAAGTTTATTATAACAAGGTATGCAGTCTCTGGATTCAGACTTCCTATTACCACTTCAATTATTTTCAAAGGGGGCCAGAAGATGGTACAGTGGTTGCATCACTGAACTTACACATAGCCAACCATAGTTCAAGTCCCACACCAATGGCTTGAACATCATATTAGGCATGTGTGCATGTGTGCGTGCCTAAGATCCCAGGAGGAGAATGAAGAAGGGACTGCAGCATGACCATCCCCTCTGGGATGTAATCTCTCACTGGGGGGTGGTCTCTCACTTTCCCTCTCACCATCTCTGTCTTTCTCTCTCTCTCTATCTCTCTCCATCTCTGTCTCTCTATCTCAGTCTCTCTCCATTGAGCACATGCACCCTGGCAAAAAAAAAAAATTTCTTTTTTCTAAAATCAATTACTTTCAAAAATCTACAATTCCTTCCTCATTAGATGTAACATCTGGATTGTGTTTTCAAAGAGAATTGAGTGCTTCCTTGTCTAACAGGTATCTGGATGAGCTCCATGTACTTACCATATGAGGGGGGGGAGCTGGACCTGGAGAGAAGGGAACCCTTCCCCACATTTTCATGATATCACCAAGAGGCTGGAAGCTCTCATCACATGCTCTCTTCACCAACAAAGACATAGTAAAATAGCCCGCCTGGAACCATTCTGCCATCTCTTGATTATTGAAGGGACCTGTAACAGGATCGATTAAACAGAAGGGCAATAAGAACCTATTAGGCTCACAGAGGAAACAAGTATTTCTTGGGTCTGATCCTTATCCATGTATCTGTCAATTTTTTTTGTAAGGTTATCTCAATTCACCACCAAAGGTAGAAAACAGGCTTCTAACTAATAAAATATAACAGAAACAATTTTGAAATTAGCCCTGTGTTTATATAACCAAATCCTTAGCAGTACTTTAATTATTGTAAGAAGTATAATAGTCTTTATGTCATTCAATCTCTACAACAGTTCATTTGTCAGAAAAGTATGAGACAACTGAAAAGGGTATTTGTTAAGCTTTGTATGACTTAGGCACAGAGAATATAAACCTGCAGAGCTAACCACATTCTTCCCCCATTTTTATCTTCTGCCAGATGTTAGTGAAGGTTAGGCAAAATATAAAAAGTAATCAATCAAATTAAGACAAATTACAACTCAGTCCCTCAGGTAAGACTATCTGTGGCCGGGGGGCAGGGGGGACTAACACTGTCTACATCTTTACCAATAAGAAATAATCAAATACTTGTACATGAAATTGACAAATGCACTCTGAACAATAAGCCATTCGTTCATTCACTCAACAAATATATTCACTAAATACAAACGATGTAATTCGGCAGAAAGGGCAAAGCAATAAGTAACACAAAGCCCTGCAAATTTTCACTTTAGGAAGACGGAGTGGATGTACTTTC